TATATATATATATATATAATATGCTATTTGCTTCTTGTTTTTCCAATCTGCTTGTCTCTTCTGTAGTGAGTCCAGTTTGTGTGCTGTGAGAGCAACAGTCTTGCTTTATGATGACAGCAGTAAGCGCTGGGTACCGGCAGGGTCAGATGCAACCCATGTCAGCCGTGTCCAGATCTATCACAACGCTTCAACAAACACCTTCAGAGTGGTGGGCCGCAAACTGCAGGCTGACCAGCAGGTATGGGAGAAGAAACATACGTCCTCCAATATAATATGCAATTTCTTAGTTGTTTTGAAAAATGTTGAACTGAAAGATATTCACTTTAGAGAACACATAGTTATTTTAATATTAAAAGGCAACTTTAGTCTTAAGACATAAAACACTTTCCAACATGCTCCATTAATATGATGATAATCTCAGTACAACTGAAATGTCTGTATGACACTGTTATGTTTTTGAAATTTACTTTATGACATAAATCTTACCAATTCTCTCTTCTTTTACGTTTTTGCTGTTTGTTGGACTTAAGGATTTCCTTAATTTGTTTATCCTCCTACAAATTAACCAACAGAATTTTTAACTTATTTTTTTAACAACGCAATACAGAAGCTCTTGTCAGATTTTGAAAATAATAGCTTTGAAAAAGCAGGATGAATCCCAATTAATATGAATCTGAGCATGTAATCACAGTTAATCTATACTGTTTAGTTATACTTGATGTGAAAAAATTAAGAAAATGTAAACAATAACTTGGAATATTCATAATTCATTTAAACTAAAACAAAATTAAGTAATACTGTATTAACTACCAGGAAGAAAAAAACGGAGCTTGAAAATTCAAACCCTTTGTCGAGTTTATGGAAATCATGTTGAATTGTACAGATCTGCTGTAAGACTCTGGAAGAGACAAACAAAGACATATCAGCCCCTAATTTGTCAAGTCATATTTTCGCATCCTTGCTATAACTTATGTGTCCCTGTTAAGCTGATGTGTTGAATTCAGGCCAACATTTCATTGCCAGCTTGTGCCAATAAAATACTGCCTTGAATCTTCGGTCCATGTTATTCAATCATTTTGCAACAGAAAAAGATAAAAATTCTCAACATTTATCACGAGCCTTCATACTGTAGAATTATATGAGCATATAAACCAACTCAACATGACAAATTTACAGCTGTTAACATTTGTGCTCTGGCTCTAGTATGAATGACATGAATAAAAATAAATAAATAAAATAAAAAACTAACTAAAATAGAAATAATAATAATAAAAAAAATAATAATAATAATAATAATATAAGAAATGTAATACTTTATATGTGGTTCTTTTTATGTCAGGTAGTGCTCAACTGCCCCATTGTCAAAGGGATGAAGTATAATCAAGCAACAGCAACCTTTCATCAGTGGCGAGATCCTAAACAGGTGTGGGGATTAAATTTTGGCAATAAAGAAGATGCAGCTCTGTTTGCCAACTCCATGACTCACACATTAGAGGTTCTCAGTGGATCTGGAAGTGCAGGTACCCAAAGCTGAGCAAGGCATGTTCTGTTCTGTTCTGGTCTCTCTCTCTCTCTCTCTCT